ACCTTACGAAGGGAAGACCAGTGTCTAGGAGAACATTTACAGTAGAGGTCGAGTGAAATGACTGTCCCAAGTTTCTGTCGAAATACGTCGCCCTGTACGTGAGCAGAGTGGCCCGAACAGTCCTCCTGCAGAGCCCGGGACCAAGACTATATACGGAAACATCACTACTTACACAGGCCCGAAGGTATCGGCATCACCTCCGTTTCAATTCGGGGCCGCATCTCGCGGGCTGCACAGCTGTGGGTGACCCAGTCTGAAGGAGTGACGGAGGCTCCGACAACCGACGTCGTCCTCGATACTCTCCATACTTGGCGTAGATTAGCTAATCAGTCTTGTCAGATGACGGTCTTTCGGAGGCTCCGGCCACCGTCATCAACGTCAGCTCTCGTTGTTCACGGCCTCCGGGGGCCACTTACTGTCGACCGATGAGTCTTGCGCAGGAGATCCAAGGATTTGCGCCGCATGGTCGTCTTTGCGAAAGCTCCGAACTCCGTCATCTTGCGACTGGCGCCCTGAGCGTCTCACACAGCCATGGACGAAGGGGAGTGCAGTGACACGAACCCTGCCGGCGAAGCGGGGAATGAATTATCGCTGGCTGTGAGTCTGCTTTTCCGATCATTTGCTAACATTTGTCTTGTTGATGTGTCTACGAGGAGAAAATAGTGCTGATTTCAGAGTACCTAGTGCGACCGATGTCGTCGGCGAAAGGTAAGGCAAGCTTTAGCGAGGCTACTGTCACACGGCTCCAGGTCGCGCTCATGAGCAAGCGGGCTATCACTCACACACCGTACCTTAGATCAAGTGTAGTAGAGGGCATCCATGCCAGAAATGTTTGGCTTTAGAATTATCTTGCACCTACGAGTTGGGCTATAAGCCAAGAATTCGTAGGCAGCGTGTCAGGGTCTCGAATGATTTGTAGCTGCACTCACCCAACCCCACAGGGAGAAAAGGGCATAGCTAAATATCCACTGCAGAGAGCAAAATATTGAGCACATCGCGAAGACGGTCGACGACTTGAAGTACATGCTACAGAAGCTTCATCACGAGCATCAGCCGGGTTCAAGCCCAGGTCCTACCCAGCACGGCGCTGCCTCAGCTGCCACCTCGACGCGACCGTCTCCGACTTCGGTTCAAACCCCTGTTATCGGATCTGGCAGGTCATCGGCAGTGCTTCAGTCAGATTTTGGCGGCGAGTCTTCCATCTCTGCGCATGCATTGTTCGCCACGGCTTTCCTTCAGAATGTGGTCGGTAACAGCCCTTCCCCAAGGGTCACTGTGGAAATGGCACCTGTCATGCAGACCCTACGCAGCATTGCCGATGCTCAGAATCAGACAGCCGACTCCTCAGAAACCTTGTTTCCGCACGCCAGGCCGCTGGAGGATGGGAGAAAACCAGTCAACTTCCCTACGCCGGCAGCCGACAAGGTTTTTGGCTGTCTACGTATGGCTCAAGGTGCGTTTCTGCCGCTACGTCTCCTGGTACCAGATTCTGACCTCAATGGCAGAACATGACATGGTGGAGGCCTTGTGGCTGCCCGAGTTTGAGTCTATGGGCCATTTCACAGAATACGTCATCAGAGTCTGCTCCCCCGGGCCATCGTCTGAAGCAGAGCTCATCATCTTCAACACGGGCATGTTCTGGCTGTTTCTCGAGTGCGCCAGTTTTATGGAAGACGAAGACGAGATGAATGATTATACCGCGCAATCATATCTTTGCCGGGATAACCTTGAAACGCTGCTGGCTCATTTGGGATATCACGTACCAAATACCATGGATTACATCTACGCGCTGAATATGGCGGTCAGTATAGCATAGTTGTTTTCCGGCAGCATCAAAAGCCGCCCCAGACTTCCCCTCCGTGTTTCTTCCCTCCGAAACTTAACTACTGAACTACTGATCACGCGCTGACCTGACAGACCACCTACTGTCTCCAAACCATCAAGACGACAGCCGCGTGGTCCTTCATCTCGAAGAGTGCACACGCCTGTCAGGCCCTCGGCCTGCACAGCGCCATCTCGCTCCATCCAGCTTCGTCCGCGCAGCAGGTGAGGAAATTTCGGCTCTTCTGGGCCGTATATGGGAGCGAAAGGGCTTGCCCTACGTCTGGGCCGCTCCTTCCACATTCGCGACAGTGACATCACCATTCCGCGCCCCAAACAACCGACAGGACCCGACTTGCTCCATCACAAGTGATGCCACTGTGGACGCAAGCAGGGGCCCTGCAGGGCCGGCTCTACGATGAAATATACAGCCCGGGGGCGTTTCTCCAGCCGCAGCAAGTCCGCTACGAGCAGGCACGCACGCTGATCGATGACCTCAAGAGCCTGAGGGAGGCATCCGAGGCGCTGGAGGTTCGTCGTTCGCCAGAGCACGTCAATCCGATGCATGCATGTCGCGCTGACCGTGTTCGCTCACAGAGAGAAATCGTCAGGCAGGCAGGGCGCGGCGGCCAATCTCCCCTCTCCGAGCTCACCTGGCGCGCAGATCGGATCGCGTACCTTTCCATGCTGACGCTGGCTTACCGAAGCCTCCCGCCGACGGAGCCCTTTATCTCTTCATTTGCAGCGGACTGCATTGCCACGGCGCGCCAGGCTCTCGACGAGCATGAGCAGTGCCTCAAAGCTCTGACCCAGACGCAAACCGTCAAGACGTCGGCTTACATTGTCCTCTTCATCGACTGGCAAGCTAAACCCCTCCTCCCCTGCTTTCCTACTCTGGTGTCTTGTAAACGGGCTCTTAAGTCGCAATGCAACGAGAGCAGCTGACGTTGGAGAAACCAGGTCCCTCCTACAAACCCCCTTCGTGCCCTTCACCATCCTGTTCTGCCACGCCATCGAAACGTCAAGCAGGGCAGATCTCCAGGTCCTGCGCAGCTTCCTCGACACCCTCGAGAGAACGGCCTACTCGTCGCGCCACCTCTCTACCCAGAACCAACTGCGCCTCTTCCAGGCCCTCTACAGCGTCGCCGTGCGCTACATCTCGGTCCAGGAGAGCAGTTCCCTGCAGGCGGACGCCTGGAGCACGGGAGGCGACGGGAGCGGCAGCGGCACCGTCACCAGCGGCGGGGTGGCGCCCGCAGGTCAGACGTCGGCGCCTTTTTCGAGTCAGAGCATGGCGTTCACGCCTGGCGAGGTGGCGGCACAGACGGCCAAGGATCAGTTCATGGCGAACCTAGGGATGCAGGTTGACTCATCGGGCAATCCTCTGGCGAGCTGGTTTGCGAGTAATCAGCACCTCATGAGGATACTGGAAAACTCATGACATGGCACGCAAAATAGCAAACTAACATCACGGGTGGCCGGGGAAAAGAGCATGTGGAAGGAAGATGGCTGAACATAAGGTCCAAGGCATTCTGAATTTTTCTCCGGGTTCCGATGATCGATCGATCAGCACCATTCTTTATCTATCATGCCCTGCAAATAATCTCGATTTCTGATTTTTTTTTAAAAGAATATCTCAATGGCTCCGATAACACGGTGTGTTTCGTGATTTGGTTTGGGTTACATTCAAATCCTGCCCAGTTCGTCAGGGTTTACACGAGGAGACGCGCGCAAGACGCGCCAAAATAGTGCAACCGAGAGCCTCCTCAAGGCAAAACCTTATCATGTCCCAAGAGATCATCAACGTCGTATAACTGAATGGAAAACGCGTCACTGTGCGTGGCATGTCAGATCACTTCACGTCATGATCGGCCACACATCACGTAGGGAGACACAGGATCTCCTTACACGGGATCGTATCACCAACAAAGAGTCTGGACCACAACCGCCGAGGAACAGGGAATCGAGCACGCGGGCGCGCCCTCGCGCAGGCGGCGGCAGAGCCTGAAACCCACTCCCTTCTCTATCCCTTCTCCGATGAGCTCATGACCGCGTCCCGAAACCAAACGTGCAGAGCACGTAGCCCGCTCATGTCCTCCCTTACATCCCGCCACCCATCCACGACTTGTCACATATCATGACACAGTGGACACAACCGTCCCGTCGGAAGCGGACAGGACCCCGTAGGTAAAAAAGCGACAAGAGATAGCAGCCTCGGCACACTCCAACCAACCGCCGCCCCGAACAGGACATGGTAGGTAGGTCCGCTCTCTCCATCCCCCCTTTCAAGGACAATAGGCGGGTAGAAAGGTCGCCTCTCTCTCCGCCGAGCTGAGCCGCCGGACTCGCCGGACGTCCTCACACACACGCCTTCTGAGACCGCCGATCAGCGAAGATTCCCGCGCCCGGCCATAGGTGGTCGCGTTCTTGTCAGGCTCCTATTCTTTCTCCCACCCCCCCTTGGCGGCTGTACCGCCAATCTATCTGCCTTGCCCCCGAAGTAGAATTGGTTCGCATGGAAGACCGAGACAGGCAAGGAAACCCAGGGTGCAAAGCTACGTCGACGAAAGCTGAAAGAGAGACGCGCACGCGCAGTGCACATACCTCCCTCCTTCCCTTCCCGGCCGAGTTGACTTGAAAGATCGACGTGATCTGTACGCATCAGGGCTCGTAGTGGCTGGGAGGGCAAGGTGCTGCGGGCGGGCATCCAAAGCGGGAACGCGCTGTCTCTGTCTCTCAAACACACGCACGCATTG